GGGCGGTGCGTGCTGCGCGCTGCTGGGCGGTGCGTGCTGCGTGCTGCCAGGCGGTGCGTGCTGCGTGCTGTCGGCGGTGCGTGCTGCTGTGCGGCGCTACCAGGCGGTGCCTGCTGCTGTGCGGCCTGCTGTGCATGTTGGTGCCTATGACTGTGCCGCAGTGCGCTGCCGGTTGGTGTGACCATAACAAACTGAGACTATAGAATTGTCACCAAACTTCACATTATCACGAAATGACTCATCCAAATAAGAGAATGCCGACTTGTCTCTACACATATGATTGCTGCAGCCTGTGTCTAAGTACCACAAATTCTTGTTGGTTTCCTCCTTTACATGACAAACCATTAACAAGGATACTTCTTCTTCCTTCTCTGCAAGATTAGACATTTCTCCATGTTGTCTATTTAAATTAGTTCGGCATTCAGACTTATATTGGCCATACCTGTGACATCTGTAGCACTCGACATTGGACTTGTCTGCTAACCTTGGTCTATATGTAGTCGAGTGGTGGTCTCCTCTTCCTCTTCCTCTTCCTCTTCCTCTTCCTCTTCCTTGAACTTGGTTGTCTTGATGTTGATGTTGTTGTTGGTTTCCACGATCATTGCTTTCTCTGCCTCTACCACTACCTCTACCTCGTTCTCTATCTCTCCTTGATGCCGGATGATTTTCTGTGGAGGCCTTCAAAGCTTGCTCCTCTTTCTCCTGCTGGTTGATTTTATGCTCTTGAATCAACAAAGAACTTTGTAATTCGTCAATTGAAAGTTCATCAATATCATGAGATTCTTCTATGGAACAAACAACAAAATTAAATTTTGGTTTCATGGACCGAAGGATCTTCTCTACTATGGTGACGTCCTCCGTCTTGTCGTCGTGGATCCACATCTTATTGACGATTGCCATTGTCCGTGAAAAGTAATCTGTGACCGACTCTCCTGAATTCATTCGTAGTGTTTCGAACTTCGAACGAAGTGCTTGAAGCTGCTGCCTCTTTGCCCTTGCCGAACCTTGATACTTCTTCTTCATGGAATCCCAGATGTGTTTGGACGTATCCTTACAAGGAATGGTTTCCAAGATTGAACGATCAATGGCTTGGAAAAGATAATTTTTCGCTTTGAGATCCTTCAAGCATTGTCCTTCTAATTCTGTTTTCTGTGCATCTGTCACTGCTGTGCCTGCTGCTGGTTCTGCTATTCCATTGGAGACGACCTGCCAATATTCTTTGGACCTTAAGAAGTTCTCCATCAACATACTCCAATGGTCATAGTGACCATCAAAACGCGGGATGGCAGGTTGAACGAAGTTATCAGTAGCCATACGGGATGAATTTTGCGACACTTCCACACTTTTCTCTCTGCAATACAAAAGACAGGAAGAAAGCTATTGCTATACTCTCCCTTTTTTGTAATCCTTTTCTTTCCAATTACTCAATTCATAAGAAAGGGTGTTTATATCACCATTGTTGTTGGAGAAGATGAGTAATTCTTGTCACTATTGGAAAAGACAATCAAGGTAAAATGGTCTCAAAAATATTAAAAAGGGTAGCTTTGGTTTCTTTTAAAAAATTTAAGCTGTACTTGTTGTCATGTGATATAGATAATTGACATACTACTAATGGTGGTCGCGGGTACTAAATTGGTAGTTTTTGGGAGTTCAAGTATTGCAATTGCACATTTTAGTTCAGATACTAAAGTGATATTATCCAAACTCCATAGAATATAAAATACAAATATGCAATCTACCCAAAGAAAAAGGGTAAATTTCATAAAGTACCCCTAAATTTTAGGAAATTGACTAGATCTACTCCCTACTATTTACATAGTCTTAAAATACCCTTAACAATTGACTAAATCCTCCTCTTCCATTAGCATCTTTTAAGGAAAAGATTGAAAAGACTATTTTATCCATCATTCTTCTTTAAACCTTCAAAATGAAACATTTGAACACAACCTTTCTACTCTTCTCCATCTTTTCAAAGGAGAAAATCCTGAAAACTATAACAACCTCCCCACTTCTAGCAACCCATCCACCCTTCTAGCAACGAGCACCAACCCAATATGATCCTTCTATGATCCCATTTTTCATAATCAATCAATACATGCAAGGGGTGAAAAATCAATTGGAATTCGTATCCTCTTTTTTTCTCTACACTTCTAAGAATTTGCTTCATGTCTATTGATGTATTGTTGATGCAGATTTACCAGCTCTCCACTAAAGCTGCATGCAGGCTTTCATGGCTATCCGATTAATCATGATCCAATTTAGTTCTCAATGATTCCATTGATCCAATCGTCAAGGCTCTCACTTTATATTAGACGACCTTAGAGCAGAAAAAATAAAGAAAAGAACATTTTCTCTTTAATTCATTGGATAGGTGTTCTACTTTTTTTTCTTGCTTCTAATATGGGTTTCAGATTAGACCCACTTAGCAATTATAAGATTAAACCAATTAGGCTGCACTTGACATTCCTTATTTTAAGGACTTATTTCATTTTTGCAGTTAAAATGCCCCTATAAACATTGAGTTTTTAATTGCAAAAAGGAAATAAATCCTTAAAATAAGGAATGCTAAATGCAGCCTTAGTCAACCTCAAACTACCTAATTAAAAAGAAAAAATCATGTGTCTTCTCAAAATCTGATATTTTCACAACAAGAAACTGTTCTATTTATAGAGCTAAAACCAAACGGATAAGTGCTTGAAAGTAGGAAGTGCAACCACCAATTCCTAAAAACATGCAACTTACTCCTAAAGCTATGTATTCTCCTATAGACCAGGTAGCAGAAAAACAAACTAAACCACTTGAACAAACTCCTATGAAGCGTTAAAACATGAGCTTCTCTCGAGGCTTTTAATCAATACCAAAAACAGGCTTTGAATCAATATCTGGAATCTGTGGATGATTAGATATGAGTTTTTTTGTTTCTTATTATTTGCAATTAGTGAATGACCTCGTACTAAGTACTGGGAAGTTATATATATATATGAATAAACATTAATGATTTTTATTACTGTTTATAAACTACCATTTTTTAAGACACTCGTACAATCTACGGGTCCACATAAATTGACCCTTATATGTCAAACCCGTAAAATTATACGGGTCATTAAATTCAACTTGAAACATTTATTACTTTAATTTAACCATTATTATTACTATTAATGGTAACTGATGATTGTTATTTCGTTTTTTATTATTTACTTAAATAAGTACTTGATGATTGTTATTATTCTTAATTACTTCTATAAATAATTGATTGTTATTATTATTTACTTAATTCAGTAATTATTTTATTTAATCTGAATTATTTCATTTTTTTAATTATTTATAATAGACATTTAGGGTAGGCTCTTTATTTGATTTAAGAGACTTACCATGTTTTTATCTAGACAATGACCCCATACTAAGGGGCAACTACAATATCATTTAATTTGAAATTTACTATTTAACAATAAAAAATCAATGTCATGCTGAACAACCCACCCCCAAAAAAGTATCAATAACTTTGAAATCATTAATCTATCTATAAAATAGTAAACTTAGATCGATGTTTACAACAATATCACAAATACTGCTTAATATTTAGGGACATATGAATGGATAAACAACATTTATGATATCCATTCAAAGAGGCAAAGAATGAAGAAAATCATTCAAAGAGCTGCTAAGAAAAACAATCCATGCCAAACAACATTTGTAGATGCATCCATCCTCTAAAGTAAGAGATGAAAAATATATGACTACAATCAAATCATCATTATGTATGGCTACAATCAATTGATAATATAATTAGGAGTTCAAAACCCATCCAATAGAGGAAACATGAAAAAAATGAGAATAATGAGACAATCCTAAGTATGAAAGTCACCTCCAAGTTAGGTGGCAACACTTCTTTTGGTCGATCATGGTTATGGATTTTAAGTCTAAGCTCCCCACAATGCACATAGACTGGCTACAATTTATCATTAGGAAAAGATAGGGAAACATGTACATAAACTAATGGTATGTTTGAATTATGGGAATTAAGAGATAGAAAAAGAAAATGTAGGTTGAAATTATAATTTTGAGCATGTTGATGTGTCAAATTCAAGTCAATTAGAATACTCATAGATTTTTAGTTCATTCATTTAGTGGTAATTTGAATATATTTTTTTCATATCTTTATTGAGTAATATAGATTCATAATATATTAATAATTATGAAATTAGTATAAGTATACTATTATTACTATTATTTACTAATAATATATTCTTATTATGTGTGTATTGATTTTGAAATCAGTAATATTAAAATTATTATTATTATTATTATTATGAAGTAATTAATTTGTTATAATTATGATTTTTAGTTAATTCATGAAATAATAATTGTTTTTCTAAATCTTTTAGTTTAACAATAATGAATAATTGAAAGTTTATAATTTAACTTTCACTAAATGAAATATTTATTGGAGAATAATAAAAGTATTAATTATAATTACTTATAATAATAATATAAATAACTAACACTAATTATATATTTATAAAAAAATTAATATGAATTAATATAAATATAAAATGATTATATCCCAATTAATAATTAACATTATTAAAATACATATTAATTATCATTAATAACTAACATTCCAAAGTAATAATTATCATTTTTATAATTAAGGAATTAATTATCAGTAAGTAATTATAATCAATAGTTATTTTTTATCAGAAATCATTATTATTAGTAATAATTAATTATAATAGTGGATGATAATAATAATATAATTATACTAATTAATATAAGTATTAATTATAATTAATAATAATACTATAATTAATTATTTCATATAAATATAAATAATTAACATTCAATATTTATTTTCAAAATAATTAATATGAGTTAATATAAATATAAAATTATTATTTCTGAATTATTAATTACCATTATGAAAATCATTATTAATTATCATTCCGAATCAATAATGAGAAATATTATCAGTAATTAGTTAATATCAGTAGTTAAGTATTAGCAATAATTATTATAAGAAATTATTATCAGTAATTAATTATTATCAGTGAGATATTATTATTATTAGTAATTAATTAATTAGAAGTCATTAATTATTATTAGTACCCCTCTCCTTCAAAAAGTTGACTCATCATCATCATCATCATCATCATCGATGACAACAACTTGATAAATACATAATTTGATAAAAATAGGTAAATATCTTTAATTTTTTTTATCTTTTGGAAAACTGAATAAGAGAAAACTAAAATGGTTAGCATTGTAAATGAAAAGTTATTTGGATTTTTTCAAAAAGAAAAAAAAATTATTGAACATAAAAAACCAATTACTCAAAAATAAGGTCGTTAATGAAAGAGTAATTAAAATTATTCTGTAAATAATAATTTTAAGAAATTAATCATTAATATTTTTCTGAATTAAAACGGGTAATTTCAAGTCAACAAATAATTTTAAGTAATTAAATTTTGCTATTAACATTTTTTAATAATAATCAGTATTATTATCATATTAATAATATATTAATAATTGTGAAATCAATAATAATAATAATTATAAGTATATTATTATTATTATTATTACAACTATTATTGTTATTTTATTTTTATTTTTATTAAATAATTAATTTGTTATAATTACAATTTTTAGTTAATTCATAAAATAATATTTGCTTTTATAATTCTTTAAATTTAAAAATATTGAATACTTGAAAGTTTTATAATTTAACTTTCACTAAATGAAATATTTATTGGAGAATAATAATAGTATTAATTATAATTACTTGTAATAATAATAATATAAATAAATAAAACTAATTATATATTTATAAAATAATTAATATGAATTAATATTTATATAGAATGATTATATCCCAATTAATAATTAACATTATTAAAATACTTATTAATTACCATAATTAACATTCCGAAGTAATAATTATCATCATTAGTATTAGTAATAATTAATTATAATAATAATATAATTATATTCATTAATAAAATATTATTAATTATAATTACTTATAATATTATAATTAATTATTCCATATAAATGTATGAATTATAATTTCTGATAATAATTATAGTATAAATAATTACCATTAAATATTTATTTTCAAAATAATTAATATGAGTTAATATAAATATAAAAAGATTATTTCTGAATTATTAATTACCATTATGAAAATATTTCTTAATTATCATTTAAAATTAATAATGAGCAATATTATCACTAATTAATTATTATCAGCAATTAAGTTATAGCAATATTATTATAAGAATTGTTTTCAATAATTAATTATTATCAGTGAGTAGTTATTATTAGTAATTAATATTTGAAATTAATTAATTAGATGTAGTTAACAATAATTAATAATTTCAATTAATTCATTAAAAGTAGTTAATAATAATTATTATTAGTAATTAGTAGCTGAAATTAATTAATTAATTTAGTAGTTAATAGTAATTAATAGCACAACTTACTTTTTTTTTAGAAAATGATTGAAAGTGGAAGCTTCCCACTTCTTACAACTCTGCATGGTGATGGATTCCACTCTGTATGTTAGTGGACTGTTTTCTTAAACTACCACTAATCAAAATTTAACATGCCTACTGGGTTCTATTCTTAAACTAGCACCTGAATGTAAATCGGCCACATGTATCGAGCTCACGAGCCAGGTTTTGAGCCTGATTTACATTGTATCGAGCTCGAGCTTCAAGCCGGGTTTCATTCAAAATTTGGCAAAACCCAAACCCGAGCCTGGCCCATGAATATATCTATTTGCAATCAGCAAGAAACTCAACAAAAACAACCTTGAATTCTGTAATAAATTCTATATTTATGAACAAAAAAGCTTCTTTTTAACTTTTAGGGGTCGTTTTGAAAACCGACTCCTTTTATTAAACGCAATGACTCTTTTACCCATACATCAATTGTAACGTGTCATGCCTGAAACCATCCCAATTCCCAACAGCCCAGACAGCCCCCAACAGCCAAAGTTTTTCCCTCTTCCACGTCATCTGACAACTGTACACTGAGACCGTATTACGTGGTCCAATCATTCTCATTCTACACTCTACAGTAATATACTTGACACCACATGCAATTCATCACATATTACACTCTAATCCCTTCTCTCTCATGGGTTATAAAATCAAGGTAAAAGGACGTAAACGCCCCCGGCCGACTTTCAATTCCATCGTCTCTCTCTCTCTCTGCTATAAAAGTTTAAATTATTCCACAACTCACTCTGCTTTTCGGTTTTCACTTCAGTTTCCAACCAACTGCCTCCTCTCCTCCCCTTTAAATTACTTCCCTTCTCTGCTCTTCGCGTCACTTTCCAAACACCCCCTCCCTCTCGGCTCTCTTCCTCTCTCACACCCTGAAATAAAAAATGCCTAACACCACCGCTTTCCTCCGCCTCCTTCCGCCGGTTCCCGTCTCACGCACATATCCATCGTCAGATCCAGGGGCGGTTCTCTCCGGTGAGTCTCCATTGGTTTTTTCAATCCACACTAGCTAACCCAGTTGGTAAAAGCAATAGAGTTCTACCAGCAGCTACCCACAAAGCAATAGAGTCTATAGACTCTAATTTTTTCCCTTTTGGATCGATCAAAATTACCATTTAGGAAAATAGAAACGTAAATTTCCACTGAAATATTGCTATGTTTGAAGTTTTGAACGGTTGGAATCAAGAGATATATCATGAGGAATCTATTTGCTGATAAAGTCTCCTTTGGTTTTGGATTTCCTCATTTCTTTATTCCATGATCTTCTTTCTAGCAAAGAGATCAACGTTTAGCTGTTCCAGCTCGTTGCTTTGCTTATAGCTCGGTTTTTCCTATAATGACTACTGTACTGTACAGTGAGTAGTGAAAGTGATACAGACGACAGAACACAGAAGTTTACAGAATTCACCCAAGAGCGTGTTACTTTTTCTGGGTATGTGGGAGAAATCTCCTCGTGAAACGAGAAGTTTCCCCAATATAGTAAGTTTTAATGAGTGGCAGCATCGTCATTTTCCACATGAAAATTGAATCCTATTTATCTGTTGCAGGTGTTTGTTCTTTTGCGACTGAAAATAAAAGGTCCGGCTTTGGTCTTCTGCGCTCCAGACGTAACGCAATACCCAGGATTTCTGCTCACGGTATAGCAAATTTCATTACATACACAGAGACGTATACGTATATACTTATATACGTATATAGAGACGTATACGTATATACTTATATACGTATATAGAGACGTATACGTACATAAACACATACATATATACGTACATGATATGTTCGGATGATTGTTTGTGCAGTCTACACGGAGATCCTTCAGAATGGCCTACCAACGGCAGAATGGCTGGAGACTCTGAAGAATGACAGAGAAGGGGAAGCTCCTAAGGTTGATAAATCTTTTTTTTTCTCTGTTGATTTTCAAATATCAACTCTTAGCGTGAAATGCTAATTTATTTGTTGATGTGATATCAAAGGTTTCCATCTCTAAGGAGATAGTAGAGAGGGTGGATTCCATTAAAGCTATGTTGAGTTCTATGGAAGATGGAGAAATTAGCATCTCAGCTTATGACACCGCATGGGTATCTCTGGTTCAAGATATTCTTGGAGGTGGTGCTCCCCAGTTCCCTTCTAGCCTTCTGTGGATCGTCGACAATCAACTCCCTGATGGTTCCTGGGGCGATCATCGTATATTTTCTGCTCACGATCGGATCATTAGCACTTTGGCCTGTGTGATTGCATTGAAATCATGGAATATCTGTCCGAGGAAGTGCGATAAAGGTAGAACAAAAGCTCTGTAGCTAGCTAGCTTCATCAGTTCAAATGAATGTGGTAACTAGTAGCTGACTTGGGGTGTTTTGTTTTGTGTGTGTTAATAATATAGGAGTGGTATTTATTCGGGAGAACATGAGTAGGCTCGAAAGCGAAAACCCAGAGCACATGTCCATAGGTTTTGAAGTTGCTTTCCCTTCTCTCATCGAAATTGCTCGAAAGCTGCATTTGCAGGTTCCTGTTGATTCTACTGTCATGCAAATGATAAGTGCCAAGAGAAATCTAAAGCTTACTAGGTGATTCCTCAACAAAATCTTCCGTCATTCTTTTCTTTTTCTTATAGTAATTCAATTATTTTTCTATACTTTTGGCAATGGAAATCTAATTATTTCTAGTAATGGCTAGTACAATATCTCAGAAAGATTAGAAAAGGACTGAAGTAGTGGTCTGCCACAATAGCTTTGTGAACTTTATTAGGGGATTTTGTGTTGTTGGATTTATGTAATAATTATATATGTGATACAGGATACCCAAGGAAATGATGCACATAGTGCCCACAACGCTCCTCCATAGCTTGGAAGGAATGCCTGGTTTGGACTGGGAAAAGCTTCTCAAGCTGCAGAGCCCAGATGGGTCCTTCCTGTTTTCTCCATCCTCCACAGCCTTTGCCCTCATGCAGACTAAAGATGAAAACTGCTTAAAATATCTCAAAAGAGTTGTTGAAAGATTCAATGGAGGAGGTAGATCTAGCGTAGAGTTACCTTTTGTCACTTTTAACTGTTTCAAATCAAAAGTTCCTTTTTTTTTCTATTTTATAACTTTACTAACTTAAAATAGTTTTCTTTTTTTTATAATGTGTTTGTTCACAGTACCCAACGTCTACCCTGTTGATTTATTCGAACACATTTGGGCTGTGGATCGCTTGGAACGCCTTGGCATTTCTCGATACTTCCAATCAGAAATTAAAGAATGTCTCGATTATGTCTACAGGTCCCATTGTTGGTTCAGTAGTCTAGATTATGTTACTGGTCAGACCCCTTTTTTATGGTAATATAAAAATTTAACAGTAAAATCTCGATAAAAATTTCAGGTATTGGACTGAAGATGGAATTTGTTGGGCTAGAAACTCAACAGTACATGACATTGATGACACAGCTATGGCTTTCAGGCTCCTAAGGTTACATGGCCACGATGTTTCCCCAGGTAATTCATGACAAAATAGTAGAAACTATATACCATTCTTCTATTTGATGATGAACAAATAAATTACTTTCCAAGTTAGTTACAGCAAATGTATATATGATCTAATGTTTGTAACAGATGCATTTCGGCATTTCGAGAAAGGTGGCGAATTCTTTTGTTTCGCAGGACAATCAAACCAGGCAATTACCGGAATGTTCAATCTCTACAGGGCATCTCAGGTATTGTTCCCCGGAGAGAAGATCCTTGAAGAAGCAAAGACATTTTCATCCAGGTTTCTAAGTGAAAAACAGGCTTCCAATCAACTACTAGATAAATGGATAATAACCAAGGACTTGCCTGGGGAGGTATAGTTATCAAATTAAGAATCAACTCAACTGATCATCATATCAAAGTTTCAAATCTATACATACCCATTTCAAAAAATGAATCAAAACTAAAAAGGGTTCAATCAATTTAACTTGATTAGGTGAGATATGCTCTTGACATTCCATGGTACGCCAGTCTCCCCCGGCTGGAGGCCAGATATTATCTAGAACAGTATGGTGGAGAAGACGACGTATGGATCGGGAAAACACTTTACAGGTTCATCTGTATATATTTCTTCTACTCAATATCAGACCTTTCTTTTTTTGCTCTGTCTCTCGATATAAAGGGTTTATTCATCTATACATTCAGGATGCCTTTAGTTAACAACAACGTCTATCTTGAGCTTGCAAAGTTAGACTTCAACAATTGCCAAGCATTGCATCAGCATGAATGGGTCAATCTTCAAAAGTAAGTAGCCAAACATTCAGTGCAGAACTGTACTCCTTCCTCTTCCAACGCCCAGATATGAGATACGATATCCCTTTAATAACTATCACATACTGTACTATATATTCTATATATGCAGATGGTACACAGACTGCAACCTTGGAGAGTTTGGGGTGAACAGGGGGACACTTCTCCAGGCCTACTACGTAGCAGCAGCGAGCATATTCGAGCCCGAGAGATGGACTGAGCGGCTAGCATGGGCCCGAACGGCAGTCCTTGTCGAGGCGGTCTCCTTGTACTTGGAGAAGGAAGACCCACAGAGGGGAGCCTTCGTCCATGATTTCTTCAGCAACATTGGCGGCAGCAGCATCTTCAGCAGTGACAACAAAAACAAGCTTGATAAGAGGTATATACTGAGATACTATGCAAGTTTGGTTGGTATACCGAATACCGTATTTCTTTATTATGAAAGAATCAAAGAATCCACCGTTGATACTTGACACTAGTAGACAGTAACTGGTAGGAATATGTACTGATGATGACTACACAAAATTCCAAGGCGTTCTATTCAATATTTTCCTCCCGGCGCCGTTTGCCGGCGTTTTGTTTTGTTCGTTGTCTTTGAATCCGTCTTCATCTGTTCTAAGTTGCCAAACCCACCCATACATAACATACGTACATGTACATTCTCTGATGTAAGAGAGAGAGAGAGAGAGCAGTATATAAGGACCATTAGAATTTAGATATATTATTGCAATTTTTTGTTGGTGTAAACTTTTCAAAGATGGGTTTGATTTGTAGCGGGAAACAGAGGAAGGAAAAAGTAATATTTGTTTGATTTTATGCAGGAGGTGGGGATCGAAGAGGACAGCGGAGAGACTCGTTGAGGCCCTACTGGGGACCCTCAACCGACTATCGTTGGACTCACTGCTGGCGCACGGCCAAGACGTACTCCTCCACTTACGACGCGCTGTGAGTACAATTACAATACAACCTAGTTACCACCACGCCACCCAATCCATAAAAACAAGAAATAGAATAGAATAACAAAAATTCTGAAAACAAAGTATCGTACAAACTACCCAAGTACTCATGATTCCAACCAAGTTTTTCAATTGATTCGTTTCTTTCACCTTCATGGTTTCAACTTGTAATAAACAAAAATCCTAATGGATGCAGTGGGCCACGTGGCTACTGATATCGCTTGATGAAGCAGAGGAAGAAGAAGAAGAAGAAGACAAGCAACAGACAGGAAGAGAGGCAGAGCTCCTTGTGCGCACCATAAATCTCTGCGCCGGTCGTCCCCTCTCGGAGGAGCTCTTGTGCCATCCCCACTATCGTCGCCTCGTCCAACTCACCAACAGAGTCTGTCACCACCTTCGTCGTTTCCGAGAATGGAAGGTGAGAACAGGAGAGAGAGAGAGAGAGAGAGAGAGAGAGAGAGAGAGAGAGAAACACAAATCCACTTATTGGGAATCCCTACCTATCATCTTCTCATCTGTGGGTGCACGAGTGAGGCGTCATTTTGTTTGAATTTTATCTTGGATTTTACTCTCTCTGGTCGAATTCTCTGCAAGAATGAAAAAGCACTCGCTGTTGCTGTCGGGTTGAAATGGGTTGGGCAGAAATAAAAACCAGCAAAACCAAACAAAATCCCCACTGTGGGACTGTGTTGCCATCGAAACTACAACCAGAAAGAGTTGATAGTTTGATGCATTCATGTCTTGAACCAGTAGAATTGTTATTTCAAAGAGAGAGATGCCAATGTATTATCGGCTCCCTACTGGAGCCCTCCACCTGATGTGTCTCGCTCCCATCACAATATAGAACTATACAAGTTCTGAAGGGGGTATTTCAATAGTGTTTCAACTTTCAACCATAAGTTGTGGAGGTAGTTTTGTAATTAAGGATCTCTTTCCATTGACACAAAGTCACAAACCCTCTTGCCCCAGGGGCCAGTACAGCTTCTGCCCTTTCATTTCAGGGTCAGGAGTCAGTTCAGTAGTCAGCCACTTCCGGGTCAGGGACTCCAGGGTATAATTACCTCTACATGCTAAGTTTTGGATGCCACCAAGAATGGAATCATTTCATGGAATTTGAACTTTGAAGTTCAAACCCACTTCTAGTCATCCACTGCTCAATTGAAATTAAATGGATTCATTTCAAAGTGAGTTCATGTTCAAGCAACCCTCATTGTAATAATTCATCAATACTAACAAACCCCATTAATTGTGAGCACTTTTACATGCATATTCATGTCAAGGGTGTTTTGGTAATTGCACTACCTTACATGGGACATGGACACGTGTAAAAGTGATGGATGAGAGAAGTAGGATTGATGGATGCCTCTCTATTGTCAATGGGGAGGGGGCTGGTCCATTTGTGGCAGACAGTGAACTTGTGCTCTGAAACAAACAAACAAATGAAAACTACAAGGAGATAGATCATTTCATCTGAGGCATCCAACAGGAGCAAATTCCTGTGGAGAATGCAGCAGCAATTCTCATGTTTTTTCTTCTCTTTCTATCCATCCATTATGGGATTATTATATGTTGTTTACTACCATTTTGATAGATATATGTATATATTTTTTTTGGTGTATTAAATCAGGTAAACGAAAGGAGCAGCGATGATCCAAATACAAGCAGCATCACCACCTGTGAAATCGAATCAGACATGCAAGAGCTGGTCCAATGTGTGCTCCGGAGCTCTGATGGCATCGATCCTGCGATCAAGCAAACATTCCTTGCCGTTGCCAAGAGTTATTACTACACCGCCCATTGTCCGCCAGCCATGATCAACCTCCACATAGCCAAAGTTCTCTTTGAGAGTGTACACTGATTTTTTTTGTTGTGTAACTTGAATTTCCTACATACAGATACAGTTGTATTTGTGTAAATCCCTGAAAAATAATTATTCTCAAAATCGATTCAATTCAATCCAAAATACTTCTGATTCTGAGTACAACAACTGTTTACTATGCTAAAATCTCAATCATACAAAAACGTTTGTAGATGCATGGGATTTTAAAAACTTTTTGGGGGTGTTTGGTATGGTAGTATTGTGTTAGTGACTGTTGTGTAATATAAATTTGTGAGAGTTTTTTTTTAAACGTTTTGATTTGATCAATGTCATCGTTGCTGTCGTCGTCATTCATGCCTTATCTCAACTATATGGGGTGGGCTCATAAATAATGTTTTGCCTATCCATTCTATTTAAAGTCATATCTACCATCAAATTAATTATTGGTGTTTAAAATGATTTCTAATTACTACCCATGACCATTTTAGTCTACCCCGAGCTCTTCTAACTCCTTGAATGTGTAACAAATCACTTCTTCTAATTGACATGATTGGTGGTCTTCTATGCACATGTCTAAGCCATTTTAGTTTATTTTCTCTCATTTTTATCACTTATTGGAGTAATTACTTTTAGGTTTCTAGAGATAACTTTATTCCTAATATCCTATCCTTTCTAGTTTTTCTATTCATTTGCATTTTTGCCACATTTATTTTCTAAACATATTATTTCTTGATTGCCCAACACTCTGCTCCATTTTGCCCATCCTATTCTAATTCTTTAGCTGGTATCCTTCTCAACCTCTCCCTTGTTATTTGATTTTATTAATATAAATTGTTATTTCTACCTAAAATGTCAAATTTGACGATTCAACCATCAATTATAATGATTAATTACATATGCATTTCTTTTTGTTGAAACACATTCATGCGTATATGATATGACAACACATGGGTGCAACTATGATATGAAAAAGATAAGATATCTGGAAAACAACTGATCAATAAAGTAGAATCATAAATGTGATAGCAAATAAGGTGTTATTTATCAAAATTCATGGGTGAATTTTGATTGGTCAAAACTCTTTTCATATCATATCTTTCCCGCATCATAGACTTATCCGACAACACATATTTCTCACAAAATTGTATTGATGATGAACTCAAAAAGCAAAAGAAATGCAATGCCACTGCTCCAGTCACAACCTTAGTGATGGAATTATACTGTAACTGCCCTTACGTTTGGAAATGGCAGACAAGATACCCTGCACAAGACTACATTGCAAATATTTTGCTTTCTTTCTATTATTACCATGAATAAGGTGAAATAAAGAAAAGAAAAGAAAAGAAAAGAAGAGAAGTGGAGATACTCGCCTATTTAGATATTACAGAGACAAAGACAAGGACTAATGCTTAATACAAGATGACCCACTTCAACTATTTTTGCATGTTAGTGCCCAACAACTAAGGGGAAGAGATGAGAGTAGCAACTTGATCTTTTTGGGATTGACAGAAACAACCTTGATATTTTTTCTCATTCGCTTCTTTCCAATGGTGATGGCACACAAAGCCATCGATACCTCGCTTGTTTTATTTTTTAGGTCAGACTTATGCCAGATGTAGGAGGACACGAGTGGGAGGTTCAAACAATATTTACTTACGGTCTCTCTTTATTTGAATGAACAGCAAAGCAGAAAAGAGATGAGAGGTTCAAACAATAAGCATTAAACCAACCGATATGATCAATTGGATATGGTTAGGGGTGTCAATGAACCGATTTTGGGTTAGATCTCATCCATATCAAAATCAATTTGTACGGATTGGAAGGAAATTAATTCAAGCTTAATGGTCCAAAATATTTATTAAATTGGATTGGGTTGGACTTCATTCGGATTGAATCATTATTCAGTCCATCGAAAGAAGATAAGAATACAGGTGTCAATGGACCAGTTTTGAATTGAGACCAATCTAAACTAAAACCAATTTGAACAGATCAAATGGTTCAGACATTGAATTGGATTAATCCAAAATGGTCCAAAGTATTCATCGGATTGGATTGAACCCGATCCCTCTGTAATGGGTTCATACTGGATTGAGATCGAGTTAGACCAAATCCGGTCCAATTGACACCCCAAATGTGATTTTATGGATGAATCCCCAGTTCCTGAAAATGAACTCATCATTAAAATTTTAAATTTTGTTGTAACAACAAGAAATGAATTCCCAGCTCAATTCTCCATAACCAACTTTTTGGGATCTTCATGGGGATTTGAAATTGATGAAAGAAGATTTGGCCCGACCTCGTAATCACTCAACACGTGGCAAAGGCAAACAGCTCGGCACAACAGCACGCTCAGGGCGTGAGCACCAAAGGGAGGAACCAACAGTCCGAACTCCCTACCACCAGTCCAAACTCCCTACAAGGAGCCCGAACTCCCTACAAGGAGCCCGAACTCTCCCTTAGGCCCCGAGCCTCACACAAGGCAATGACCTGAACTGGCCCGCCTCATGGCAGTTCGGGACACTCCCCTATCCGAACTCAAGACCACCTCGCTCACCACTCCAGCACTTCGCCTACAGGATGCCGAACTGAACAAATGTACCATACCTGACACCGAGGAGGTCCGTATCCAAGGGCGGCGCACCTGAGTGACTTGGGATCTGACGCTTGACAGCCACACTTCAACGGCCACCTGCCACCACCATCTGCCACCGTCATCGCCAGTCGCAGAGACGACTCTGACAAAAAGAGCAGTGGCGGTTCTGTCCAGCAGAGGGGATGACACCCGAACTGGCAGAAGCCCAGAGGTAATCATACCCGACCTGACAGAAGCTTAGAAGTGAGTGCACGAGGTGGTTATAAAAGGCTCCCTACCCCCCAAGAACAAGGTA